AGTCTCCCTATTCAGCAAGGAGACTCCCTAAGATTAAGACTCTTGTAATCTCCTATTTAAGGAGACACCATTATTGAATGAGGATATCGAATATTCAGTCAAGAAAGAGAGTAAAGGAGAGTTAGGTGATCTCTTGAACAAATCACCATTAGGGCACCTAGATAGGTCCATCAAGAGCAGGGAGGAACAAGGGAAAACAGAGGGTTTTCCCCTTGGACCGACCCGTGACGAGATCCTATTCCCGGGCCCATAACATAATACAACCCTTTACCAAGTTGCACCATCTATCTCCAAAACCACAACATCCAAGGACCTCTAGTAAAAAACTCCAATCCATAAGATCAGAAGCCTTCTCTAAGTCTAACTTACATACAAAACCTTGATTCCTCGACTTTCTCATGTCCTCTACACACCCATTCGCTATTAGGATCTGATCTGTTATTTGCCTTCCTTGCACGAAAGCACCTTGTGATTGACTAATGATGGAGGGTAGTACTACTTGAATTCTTAAAGACAACACTTTGGCCGGGATTTTATAGATGCTTGTTACTAGACTAATCAGCTTGTACTCCTTAGGGTCCTTTGCAACCATCTTCTTTGGGATTAGGGCTAAGAAAGTGGCATCAACTCCAGGGCTTACCTTTTTCTTATCTTCAACTCCTGAAACACCCCAATAAGATCTTCTTTAACCACATCCCAATAGTCTTGTTAAAAAGCCATTGTGAATCCATTTGGATCGGATGCTTTGGATCTATCCATTGAAAATATCGCTTGTCTGATCTCTTCACTGAAATCCCTCTCTAACCAGTTTACTTGTTCTTCAGATAACCTAGTCCACTCCAAATCTTCCAATGTTGGCCTATTATTCAATGTTTTCCTATAGATTGATCTGAAATGATCCACAAACATTCTTGCTATCTCATCTTGTTTTGTGACTTCCTTCCCATTCACCTCTAACCTAGCCATGAAATTTTTTCTTTTCCTCCCATTAGCCAACGCATGGAAAATTTTTGTATTTCCATCCCCTTCTTTAATCCATTTATGTCTTGACTTTTGCCTCTAGGAAATTTCCTCTCTCAGAAGAACCTCTTCCAAATCCTTCTTTAAATTTCTTCTCAAAGTCCTTTCTTGTTCACTCATCATCCTTTGGGCTTCTTTGGAATCTAATTCCTTAATCCTAGACACCAAATTAATTTTTTGCTCCTCTATCCTTCCAAAATGTTCCCTGTTCCACTCCTTGATTTTGGATCTCAACTTTTTCATCTTTTTGTGGAATCTCACTCCCTTCCACTTCACCCCTCTTACATCTTCTCTCCACCAATCCCCAATCAGGTGGACAAAGTCTAGGTGAGTCAACCACATGTTCTCAAATC